CTCTGCCACGCAGCATTGCTGGTTTGTGCTGGAAGAACAACTCTTTACAGAGAGGAAACGGCTGCACTGATTTCAGTGAGGCCAGAATTTCACCCAGACTTTGTAAAGCAAGACCAAGTAGGTTCTCTGTTAAGCGTACACCCCTGCGTGTAGGTATTTAATTACAGAGCGAGAGTTATTTCCCAGCTCGTACAAATTCTACTTACGCAATGGTATGTGTACCATTGACAGTAACAGCATCATACCTTATATTGAAATTGTTACAAAGGGTGTCTTAATATAGCCAGCTCAGCTAAAGCGTGCTTTAGTTTGAAACATCAGTTTAAGCCGTTTTCCCACTTTTGAGTATTGGGAACTTCAAGCGGGCATATTACAACTAGTTCCCTCATACCCAGCCCCGCCTCTGAAGGAACACAAACTTTGGCCAAACTAGATGGTATATGAACAGTATTTCTTCTTAAGACAATTACAGTTCTAGAGATACGACCTCAGACTTTTTAATGCACTGCTTCCTCACTGAAAATTTTCACACTAAATACAAAAACGGAGAGTAATAAATTTAAAAATGAGTATCGATCACTTCGCCAGCATCGCTGAGATTTTGGTTGACTCCTAAGTATAGGGAGCAGTTTACATTAAGGCAATTTCCCGCCATGAGATTGAGTAGGCAAGCAATAAACAATGATTTCAAAACTGTTTTTACAATATTTTATTCTATTAAATATGAAAGAGCATACATACAGGTGTTATTTTTTGAGGACATAAATTACACAAGGATTACATATTCTGTCAGAAAAGCACAATAATGAAACATCTTTACATTTCAAACTTTTCTTGTTAGCTTTTAACAAATGAATCTACTTCTGTTGCAAACAAGTAACGAGTGCTATTGAACTTTTGCAAATTCCCACAAAAACATCATGCTTAGTAGGATACTTTAAATATTGTAAAGATGAAATCAGAATTAGATTTCTAAATAACAAGATGGAAGAGATTTACTACTTAATGAAGATAAATGACACACTGAAATAGGAGCCGAGACAAAACTGGTCATTCATTAAAAAAAAATAAAATCCACTCGAGACACCACATTTGAATCTGCTTTCTTTACTTGCAGGAATAGTTGCTGTGATTAGGTGCATGAGTAATGAGCAGAACTGCCCCTATATATTTATAAATGTAACAACAAAGTTTAGATGTGCTGGTTTTCTAGTTCATTAATTTTTCCACTGAACCCCCACCGCACCCATGAATCTATTTGAAAAAGGTTGAAATTCAGCTCTTCTGTCGAGGGCTGCTCAAGCCTATGTATAGACTTCCATGTCTTCCATGGTCATCTGTGCAGGGGGCTACTGCATCCTACGTATGTATTTTGGGTCATCGTTGAAGTACCGGACTGAGTTACCACTGACTTGTGAGAACAGGGTTACTCTGTGGAAGTCCTAACACATTGTTTTTATAAACTTCATGTAAACAGGAATGTAACAACTGTATCATAATGAAAGCTCTCAGTTTGACACTTGGAAGACTACTTGGATAAAACACGAAATAAGCATGTAGTTTGGGTTGTGTTGCTAGGGATTAACTGAGGTGGTTTAATATATTAACACAATAATGGTGGCTTAATATATTAACAGAGTGAAACAGACAAGCTAATGTTACTGCAGGCTGTAGTTTAATTTTCAAGAGGAGTAATGAAACACAATTTCTACGAATGGTAATTTTTTTTAACTAAGGACTTCACATTTATTTATAAAACCACGGAAGTGGGGTAATATTCCTGATATCTTTCAAAACATTCTGCAAAAACACAGCTTGAGCCTGCAAACACTAGAATATACAAGCAGTCCCAGGGACCTCCAAGGTAAGCATTCTCATATGGCAAAGAGCTGCAGGGTTGTCTTTGCTTTTTTCGGAGAATGCTCAATAAAAGTGCAATATAGTGAAGCAACTAATCTAATTATTATGCTGTTGTTATTATTGATGAAAAGTGTTCAGGTATTTTATAATTGTGCCTTTTGTAGAGTGGGCATTCTGGTTTGAGTAGAGCCAGACCAGGTGAGAAGGGATGGGCATGGCACACCCACGTATTTTCTTTCCCAGGGTGGTAACGCCCCAAAGCAGTTCTACTGTTATAATCCCATCAACAGCTAAAGCATCCTGCTGCCCAGTTTCACACTGATATTTCTGTTTTGACAAAAGTTGATGTTTGTTTTGCTTTTGATTTCCACTCTGGCCTGTTCTCCCTTTCAGCTCCTCAGCACCCTTCCTTTCCCCACCCAGCCTCTTCTCTTCCTGAGATGTCAGAAGTACGTACGTTAAGCTTTGGAACCTGAGAACATGGAGGTATTTTTTGATACTACAGGGCTGTGTTTGTATTGTACCATATTATCTCCTGCTATGCTATTACAGTTACAATATAAATCTTCTAACTAGTTGATACCTGATGCCTTTTCCATATAAATAAAAACCAAAGTACCATTCAGCCACGAACACATGACACTTGTTAAAAGAGTGGCCTTTACCTTCTGCAATCCTCTTTTCCAAACAAATGTTGAGGGATCATTTCCAAAAAACCCAGCTATGAAATATTCCTTTAAGCAAACAATTTCACAGTAAAATAAAGAAAAATATATCCAGAAAATAGCACTCTCTCAAAATTAAAACTTATATACATCAAGAAGTAGTCGAGATTTTTCCTCATTCGTTTATCAGTTCTACATTATCTGTAGATAAGCAACAATATTACTAAGAGTTATGAATAGGAAAAACAAATCTAGTGAAGTAAGTGTCGTGCCTTTTTTAATACTCTTGAGAGATCAAGGAAATTCAGCATTCAACTTTATTATTACAATTATTTTTAATTAAGGTAGCAAAAGACTGTTTAAGCTTAATTCCCTATGGGTCTGAGTATCTAAGACTTAGATCCTTCAATGCGCTCTAAACAACCCATGCCGCTACACTTATAATCACCTCTGGGTACAAATCCTCTGGATTCATCCTAGTTAGCTCTTTTTTCCTATGGAGTGGAAAATTGCCACTCAAAACTTACAAATGTTTGGACAGCTAGTGAGCTCTGATGAACTATTTTCAGTGTTCCTGTCTGTCAGTCAGACTTTTTGATGAAATTAGTATTCCACATTGCATGCTATGGAATGCTATGTCAAGAGCTTGCATTTTTATCTTTTGGGTTTTTTTCCCTACTTAACTGAGGTCTAATTCATGGCAACTTCCATGAGAAAAGATGACGTGCTTATGTCCAAGTGTATCTATTTTAAAGAGAAAGATTATTCTCCATTCCCATCCAACAACTATTCAGGCAATTAGCCTTGTAGACGTCAATAAAAAGTGACAGATCAATCACTATCTTCAACAATTTCACTCCGCGACTATTTTGAATTGCTGTGGGTTTTGAAAAGGAAGAATAGGTTTATTTTTTTTTAAATTGCTTTCGTGTGAGAAGAATAGATTTTTTAAAAAAAAAAAAATCTCCTTTCGTGTGAGAAAG